GGTGGAGTAGTCCAAAATGGCATGGTGCACCGATTCAATTATTTTCACCGGTTCCCAATCATTATTTTCCACCACTCGAAATTCTCCACAAGCGTCTTCCTATACAGGTCCGATAAATTGTTGTCGCTCTTCAGCAGCCGGATATAACGTCAATGTGCTGATGGCGTCTCGATCATTTCAAATGCTCTGAAATATGCTTCTGGTGACTTTTGTCATCGATTGAATTGATCCAGCTGATTTCCATTCGCGAAATCTCCATTGCGCGGGGGACCTTTTTTTGAGACATAGTAAAGAACGCTAGTTTGTCTCGAAAGAAATGTAAAGTGCTGTCAGATATAGCACATCATATTCAAGTATAATCCCTGGTGTCAGGTAGGTTGGTAGATTCAAGATGCAGACAAGCGCACAGTGCCAGATGAGAGTTTTCAACTCTAGACTGTTGCCATAAGCTACCAGCATGAGGCGCCAAGGAAGAAAGTAATCAAGAGGCTGGTGTGGTTTTAACTGCATGTCTCGGTAACAAAACGTCGCCGGGCACGGAGCGCCGAGCTTGTCCTAATCAAAATGATTGGCAACGGCGAAGGTATGGATCATCTTTCCGGGATGCCTACTTTACCTGCAAAGAGTAGGTTTGGTCTTATCAATAAAGTGAGATGAGTAAGTGAGGTAATGGGGAATAAGCGAGATGATAGAGTAGGTGTAGCAAAAGTGAAATGGCATGTGTCGTGAACCCAAGCTTAAGTCAGGCAGAAGACCTTTCACAAGCAGAGCAAGGCGAGTGCAAGAGTGTATCAGGAAAAGAGATGTTCAAGAAAAGCGAAGGTGTATTTCAAGTTGCAAGGTACAGAACAAAGAGGTACTGAGGCTATCGACTACATATATGGGTTTCTCTCGTAGTGCAGATGTCTTCCTTTCGTAGTGCCAACATTCCCCTAGGCATGTGCATCTTGCATCTGGTCACATGCATATCTCCTAGTGTGTTTTGCCCCCTAGGTTAGGTCGTGGTACGCGACAGCATGGCGATGAAAAATACCGGCTGATTATTAAAACCAGCTCCTACTTGAAATTTGGCCAAAAAAAACATCACAGAATGCAAAAGATATGCTCATTGCAGGGATCGAACCTGCGGCCTTCGCGTTATTAGCACGACGCTCTACCGACTAAGCTAAACGAGCTGATGAATATTCCTGGTAAATAAACTTATTTATTCCAATTGACATCAATCCCGCAAGTGCACAGCTACCTCTCCATATATGCAATTATTCTTTAAATGCATGGTAGCTCTCTTTAAGTGCAAGAAGATCGTTCTACTAAAAATCGAGATTTTCGCAAAAGACCTCTTTTCATGGAAACACCTTTCACCTCGGTATCCCTAGAAGATCAATCTTCCTTTGCCTTAAGAGTACGTTTCGAGATTGATAAGAGATAGAGAAGTGAATTAAAGGCACGGGCAAACAGGTGCTTCCGACACGACGCCGGTTGGGGGTCTGACACGTAGGCATGAGGAACAAACAGCCGTTGGGTGGATAGAATACGTGCAACCAATGGATGGGCTGACTTTGAGTTGGTGGAGGGATGGGGAGGGCGAGATCGAGTAGCACGAAAAAGGGAGAAAGTAGTGGTGCTCTCATGCATGCGATTGCTCCGCTCTGTTTTTCTTTCATTTCATTGTGTTTATGGTTTGTTCATCCACTTCGCTTCGTTATCCCGCCTTTGTGCAATGCTGGGCGGGCAATGGGGGAGGGGGGGGGAGGAGGGAAATAGGGGGCATGTGGGCGATGCAGTGTAAGCTTTCTTAAAAATACACTCCTAAAAAAAACGAGGCGCTCGCATGCATAGAAGATAGTTAAAGCTGGTATTATATTAGGGATCTTGTTTTTTTCGCTGCTGCTATTGCTGTTCTTTTCTATGAACACTTCGGTATGGAGGCAGGTCGATCAAGGTCTGTAAGAATGAATATATGAACGAAAATATGTGTGGGAGCAAGGGAATAGCGTTGTGCTACGGGATACAGAAAAAGCTGGGATAGTAGTACAAAGAAAAAAAAAAACAAAGTCAAACGGAATCTCGCGGGGCCAGAAGGCAGGGTACGGTATGTTGGGGAAGAGGGGCCTCTGTTTTTCCATTTTTTTTTCCCTACAGGGCCGCTCAATTGCCACCGGAGCGAGCTTGCCATTGTGACAAAACGCTCTGGAACCGGCTCTTGAACCGCGGATCGGCAATGGGTCGGAGCGACGCCGAGGTTGAGGACGAGAAACGCTGGTCTGAGATCGCAATGTCCTTCGAGTTGAAGAAGCTGCTCTTGCGGCGGAGGTCTTGACGGCTCAATGGGCGAGTGAACGATTTGCGCGGTTCTGCTTCCTCTTGAAGTTGCTCCTCTCGCGTGCCTGTGCTTCGCACGCGGAGATCCTCCTTTTTGATATCATCGTCGCTGTTGTCAATGACACTGTTTGTGCTTGTGCTTGTGTTGAGGGTATTGTCAATGCTGGCCAGTGTTGGTGTTGCTGTGATGGCATCTTGGGCTGCCGCAGCGATGGGCGCGTTGTTGTTTGTCTCGTGCTGAGCAACGGCTTCAGCAACAGGAACAGCAGTAACGGCTGCGGAGGTGGTGGCAGTAAGAGGAAGAGGCGAAGCAGACTCTTCAAGATGTTCTCCTTTAGCAAAAGTCATCTTCTCGATACTATTGCTGATGTCATTGGTGCTTTGATCGTCAGAATCGGACAGGTCGTTGCCGCCGTTGCTGCTGGTCTCATCACGTTCATCGTCCGAGGAGGGCATGCTGGCGGTGGTGGAGACGGGGTCGATCTGGAGAGGGCTGTCAGACGGGCCGCGGATGTGCTGGGGAGACTGCGATTGTGGTTGTGGGTGACGGGACACGGGCTTTGAGGATGTGAGGAGAGTTTTCTTGGAGCGCATTGGTACTGACGAAGGGGAGGAGGAGGATGTGGGGAGGATTGAGGTAGTCATGGCTGTCTATGTCTATTATGATACTAATGGGGTATACGGTGTGTGAGTAGGAGGATGGCGGATGGAGGATGGAGAATAGGGTTGGGCAGGGGCAGGACGAGAGAGAGAGAGAGAGAGAGAGAGAGTTGGAGAGTGAAGAAAGAAGAGGAACAGGGACTGGGCGGTGAGCAACGGCGACATATTTATATCTGGCTTTTGCCCGGTGGCAAAGGACAGACCGCGGATGCGGCAATAGCTCGTACGACACGCCATAGCCTCTCGTTTTCTGTCTACCCGTTGCTTTGTTTACCGACTGCACCCGCTGCTCTGTGCACCGCTGTCTGTAAAGATATGCGGCATATCTCTCTCTACACATGCCACCGACGGGCGTCGACGTGGCGACTCTTTTTTTTTTTTTTTATTTTTTCTCTTTTTCGTTTTTACCGCATGCCGTCATGTTGTTGTTGTTATCGTGTCCGTCCAGCAGCAAGGAAAACCCAATTCCGTTCAGCGCGTTTTCGTGTTGGCTGGCGCCGTGCCTGTGCCTGTGTGCCAGCGAGAGGCATCTGCACGTGCAAGACGACAATCGAATGCGCAGAGGGTCGTGTACCATCCGCGGCGAACAGGCCAGCCCGTTGTTCCCGGTCCTCCTCTGCTACTCCTTCCTTTGTCCCGAGGGGCCAGCGTGCATCTCCTTTGGGCGACAATCCCATGTTACAGCACTCTCTCACACTCTCCTCCCTTCCCCCTCATCCCCTCTTTGCTAGCCCTGCCCCCCAACCAACCCCTTGCGAACCACACACCGACACACCAACGGGCGGGATTATAGCAACGTAGAACAATAGCAGAGTAGGAGAATAGAAGAATAGAAGGAAGGGGGAAGGTATGGTCTATGCTTGGTGCAACTCCTTATCTCCGTTTGATATCCTTGACGCGTGTTTGGAGTTCTAGAAGAGTCCTCGATCAAGCGCACACACTCTCTCCAAGGCAAGCAACTAGCAAAAGATTCTACCGCAGCCGCACCTGCCTACGATATCGTGCTCGCTCGTTTGGAGACGGGAGCAGCATCAAAGACCATTGGTGTTGGCCTCCAGTGTTTGATATCTTTGGCGTGCATTTTAAGGTCTGATCTCAGTGCTTTTTTTTTTTTTTTTTTTT